AAGTGTAAAGATCTGTACTTAAGTTTTAAAATAACAACTGAGAAGTGGAATAAGTAGACAATAGAGAAATAGCTTATCCATAGTAAATGTAACAATCACATTTAGTGTGGCATGGCTGTCTACAAACTAATTCAATCTTAGTGTAGACTTTGGTTCCTATACTCTGTGCTAATCAGACCACATCACTTGTGGTATCACGTTCAGTGAGGTCGGTTATACTTGAATGACACTGACAAATTAGAGTTTATCAAGAGAATGAGCAGCATAATTCACTAGGGAGTAGTGAAAGTATGTCAAATGAGGAACAGTTAGAAGGACTGGGGGTAATGAACTTGGAGAAGAGAAGCCTGCAAGTACATGATGGCCATCTGCAAATATTTCAAGGCCCTCCCACGGGATGACACATGCACTGCTGAAGGGCAAACAGTTCCAATAATTGGAAGCTAAAGAGAGCCAGGTTTCGGCTTCAGATAATGAAGAAGTTTGAAAAGAGTGCTACAACCAAGGCCTAGACTTTCTTGTGAGGTAATGAGCTCCTCATCACCAGAATTGCTCAAGTAAAAGTGGGGTGATAATGCAGAGGAGACATTTTAGGAGGCATTCTTCAATTGGGTGGGTGGTTGAACTCCATAACTTTTAAGTTTACCTTTAAGATTCTCATTACATTCCCAGGAAGGAGGAAAAATAAAAAAGAAGATCTGCACACATCACCTTTCCCTGGCCCCCACCCAGAGTCCATTCCTCTCATTTTTAGCATAATGTAGGGTATGGCACATTTAGAGGATCCCCCTGAAGGTGCAGGGTCTGCTGAGCTGACTACAAGTGGTCCAGGGCTTCAGAAGAGATGGAGAACAGCAAACAATCCTGTAGCCCAGAAGGGTGGGGTGAAGGTGGTGATACTTGAACTGAGCCTTAAAATCAGGTCAAACTTGGTTTCAGAACTGTACCCTGGTGACAGGAACAAAGTGAGCTAGGCATGTTAGTGGTTGTAGGAGAGAGTCTATTTCTGTTAGAGCACATGAAGCTTTCACCCAGTATCGGCTCCAAATAAGCCCACTCCTTCTGACGCTCCCAGGCCTGAGGGTTGTCAGCCTAGGCCACTGCATTGCTTAACAGAATCTTTCTCAGAGAACTGCTGTCTTCCTTTCACATTAGCAATTGTTGATGTTCTAGAACTCAACGTGGTGGCCATCTGCCCCTGTCCTCGAAGGCTTTGCAAGCTTCCAACAATTCCTACCATGACAGTCCTTCAAATAGATTCCTAAAGAGGTACAACCCTGCACCCTAGGCATCCAGTTAATGTGTCTTAAAGAACTACTGCCTCCCAATGAACCACTTTTAAATGTTTGATTGAGTTTAACTGGATAAATATTTCAGCCATATTCTTGATACCCACATTTGTGCACCCACAAGTACAAGAACAGGGGCATAACCATGTGTTCAGGGCTTCTTATTGGTATAACATTCTTTGGCAACTTTCTGAACCATAATCAAATGTAATAGTTTGTGAGCACACATGGAAGGGGAATGACCATGACCTTTTTATAGGAGAATAAGAAAAGCTAAGTGGACTAGAAGAGAGGTTGACTTCCGACAAATAATGGGAAATTAGTTCCTGTAAGTAGAATTGGATAGTTTAACGGGGACTGGAAAACCACAGAAGGAGTTTATTTTTGATTTGATAGAAAATTGGGAGTTTAAGATTAATAGTTTTGAGCAGAAAAATTATATAATGAAGGTTTAAAGAAAATAAGCCTGTCAATGGCCTGAAGAAGGAGGTGAGGGCTGGTATCAGAGTGATCAAGAAAGCCAATATTAAAGACTCATAGACCTGAGATGAAGAGGCTGAACCAGCATGGGGACAGTGGGCATGACAAGAGAGAGATGAGCATGAATGATGCCTTGATGAAAACATGAACCCTTCCTGGTGTCTGGTGGACACAGGAGATGACTGGCTATGGATCCGTGTCACCCGTCCTGAGCTCTGCCTTCCTTGAGCTCCCCCGTCAGCCACATCTCCTTCCTAGCTCAGGCTGGATCATATATCTGACTTCGTTTTTCCAATCTCTTCTTGGAGCAAATCGCCCTGGACCGCATTTGTGGAGAGTTTTCTTACTTGACACTGCCTTCCTTTCATTAGTTGTCCTTTCCCTCACCCATTTGTGAGCATGGTGTATCCACACAGGTAGGAAGGGAGCAGCGTCAGAGATGCATAGGTACAAAGAAGCAATGTCTATACAGATTCATAAGGAGCAGAAGGATGCTTTTATTCACTCCCCGATATTGTAGGTAACTAAAGTATTAAAATTAAGAGCCCATTCTCCTCACTCGCCCAAAGAAGGAGTGTAGCATGGCAATAGCGTTGAGCTTTTCCGATCTCACACAGCAAGCTTGTGTAAAAGACAGATGCCCAGTTCTCCTAGTCACATGTAGAATCAGACCTTTCTGAGTCAAGGAGCACCACTTTTTCAAATTATCAATGGTTTTGGGAACCATTTTTTCCTTTTTGCCAAAAAGTGCCCATGTGTAAGCATCATGCAAGGTTTTACAGGTATCTCTCTCTCAGCCTGTGCACACCGCTCAAGGTCTCTGCCTGCCATGAATAAGACCCACAGAACTCACTAAAAGGCAGCCATGCCAATCCTGACCCCCTAAGGGAGCCCCTTCCTGTTCTCAAAACTAGAGTCATGGTCAAAGAGAAAGCCAATGTTTCAAGGGCACAATTTGAGGGACGTCCCCCTCTCCCCATTCCGCATACCAGCCCTATTGGGATTCCCAAATTACTCATTCCTTGGGGTAAGGCATTTTTGAAAGCCCCTGTTAAAATGCAAATGCTAGCTGGAAGGGAGAAATGTTTTTTGTCTTTAGCCATTAAGAGTTAAGTTGAAGTTAATTTATCTAAATAGGAAATGGAACTCAGAATGGAATCATACTCAGGAAAGGAAGGAGAAGAACAAGGACCGGGAACTTTCCCATCTTGACGTGGAGATAGAAAGTGCTGAAGACACACATCTTCCTCTACACATATTCAAAATGGAGTCTACTTCCCAAACCTCTGCCTGAGTGTACTCCCATGTACAGTTCAGAAACAAGTCTGTGTATCAGATGAGAGACAAGGATAAGTGTCCATAAAGGGTTGTGTGTCCAGCCTATGACCCTTTCCTTCCTTCCTGCCCCCCAAATGCTCTTATCTGCCTGACCATGAAAGGTGAATTGTCAACACTTGCCTGGCCTCTGGATAACTACCCAGGAACCACCTGCCCACCCTCCTTGCTTGTTTGAGACATGTTTTGCTCTAGTTGTCTCTCTTCACAGCCTCAACATGCTAGACCAGAGACCCTTAAACTCAACTCCCACTTCTATCCCATTTTTTTTTAATTTTTATTTTTTTGAGGAAGATTGGCCCTGTGCTAACATCTGCTGCCAGTCTTCCTCTTTCTTCTCTTTTCTCCCCAAAGCCCCAGTACATAGTTATGTATCATAGTTGTAGAGTTGTAGCTCTTCTATATGGGACACCGCCTCTGCATGGCTTGATGAGCAGTGAGTAGGTCTGTGCCCAGGATCTGAACCGGCAAACCCCAGGCCGCCAAGGCAGAACGCACAAACCTAACCGCTATGCCACCGGGCGGCCCCTCTATCTGATTTTTGAAACATGACATTTTAACCTTCATCTTCTCCTAAAGAATATGGCTTGGCTCATCTTTTTGCCTTTCATTTTCTTTCTTCTCCTACCCTAGCCTAACTCTGTAAAATCCAATCCTCACCTCCACCAGCAAGGAACATCTGATAGCCAGGGATATTAGAATAACCAAAATATCAAGCTTGAAGACATAGTTATTAAACAGCGAGCATAAGCACAAAGAACCATTTCCTTCTCTTCAAAGCACTGTTGCCATACAGTCATTTTTAGTGTGACTAGTTAATACTGGAAAACAGTATTAACTATTTTCCAGTATTAACTAGGCTAGAAGCTCCAAGAGTACAGGGACCACGTATTTTATGCTCCCTGTTAAAAACCCAGTACCTAGGACATAGTAAGCACTCAGTAAATATATTTAGAACACATGAATGAGCAGAGATTTATAACAGCTTCATTCTACACAGGATAGCTCATGTAAATAGCATTATTTGCAGCAGCAAGCAGAAGACATAATATAGAACTGTGGACTTATGCACATAAGTAAATGGACTGATTTTAGTCCAGAGCCTTAGTTCCAAGATTGAGGTTGCATGTCACAGAAACAGGTCATCTCCTTAGTTATTACACTTTGAGTGAAGTGGGAAGGTCCCTTGGCCAAAAATTATTTCACCTGTCTCTCCAGACCCTTAACTATTAGTGGAGGCACTATTTTAAGCCTATTTGCAAATGCAAATATGTTCATGGTATACAGAACACGATAAACCACCGCCTGGGCTCTTTTTTGACCTAAGACTATTTTCTTTCCAAATGAGCTATTGGTCTCTGGTGCCAAGTGGGGCCAATATTGGGATGGGGCACTTAGGTGGGGAGAAGAAATGGGGAAAGGTTTCTGGACAAGAGAAAGGAAAGGCCAAACAAGAAAGCAGAGGCCACTGTAGAGGCTCTGGGTTTTGCCCCCATCCTCTGGACTTCTCACTGGCAGAAGGGGCTCAGGCTGGGCCAGCATCCTTGGATAGCTTCTCTCGGAGCAAAGCTACTTGGAGCCCCCAGCACTCCAAGGCCAAGAGCAGCTGCTAGTTGTTTGGTAAGTGGTGCCTTCTGTTTCCTGCCTGTCCTGTCTCCTAGCTCACCAAAGCAGACAAAGGGATCTGGCTGGCAGAGACAGGATTTTGCAACACCCCACCTCCAACATAACCAGTCTGAGAATCAAGCCTGACGATCAAAGGTTTTAAGCATGTACTCCACACTCCCTCTTACCCACTCCCTTGCCGGCCATCAACCCCACCTCTGAACATCTGCCCCAGATGCAGCTTTGTCCCACACCATGCCTCCCAGGCATACGAGCTTCATAAGAACCTACCTGTCACAAATGCCCATCCACCGCAGCTCCCAGAGACCAGATGCATGAGCCCAGTGGCATTCCCGAGAAACACAGAAGCAAGGTATTAAGGACAAACAAAGAGGAGCCTTTGTGGGCTCCCCATACCTCCTAACACTCCTTGTAGAGAAAGAAATAATGTCAGGGCTGAGGCTAGAATTCAAATGCAGAAAGGGGAACTAACTAGAGAGAAACAACACCGCAGACAGGGGCAGTGTTCTTGCTGGTTCCAGATAACTTCTGCTGTCAGGTGGGCATTTCCACTGATGAGAATGACTACGCATCACTCTTGGAGAGTGAGTGAGTGTAAAGCCCTGAGGAAACCCCCCAAAGACAGCCCCAGCCACAAACATGACAGACACCTTCACTGACAGATTGACAGAGATCTGGGAGTGGAGACTTTGAGGCACATAGGTAAAGATTCAGCTCAGTTCAATGAATGTTTTACTGGGCAGCCACGTGCCAGGCACTGTGTCTGGCTGGGCAGGGCTGCAGGAGACAGTCCTCAGCCAGAGAGAGCAGAGAGACTGGGGGTTTCACCTCTTACCTTCTCCCCAAATCATTCATTGATTACCTCTCCATGGATGCTGCTAGAAGCCAGTTAACATACACAACCCCTAATTTTCAGATTATCCTAATCTAATCCTAACTGTCCTAATCTAGAATGTTTCTATTACCTTGATCTGCTATTCCTGGAAGTGGGTGGTACTCTTGAGTCCGGGACAAGTCACAAGCAGAAGTGTGAAAGGTGTGTGAATGCCGAGTGGATTTTTCCAAACCTAGCACTCCAGCAGAGACGGAATTCATATATGTAATCCTGCCCCCAAAATGCACGGCTGCTTTTCCTGACCCGATGAGGCCTTGCAAAGCCCTCTCTCAGTAGGGGAGGCATTTACATGCCTCGGAAGCTGCAGTGTTTGAGCTCAGGAGAGAGGCAGCCCCCTCCAAGCAGGCCTCCCCTGTCTTGGAGGCTAGCTGTGGCCTGAAGAAATTAAAAGTGACTAAGTGAAAGCTGTTTGTTGCTGTCTGGGTTGAGGAGGCCCACCCAAGCAAGGACGTCAGGTGCAGGGGAAGGAATGCAGGTATGGAACCGGTGGTCCAGGGTCCTGGCTCGACTATTGGACCCTGGGCAAGGTATCGAACATCTCCCAGTCTCAGTCCTCTCACCTGTGAAATGTGACTAGTAATAGCTTCCTTGCTGCACTGTTGTGAAAAACAAATGAGATTGTACATGTAAATTACCTGGCATAGAGCACGCTACCCCCCATTTAGTCTTCATATTACTTTCCTAACTTCTTTTCTTCGGACTTTCCAGTTCTCACTTTGACCTTTCTGCAAAGACCTTCCTTCTGTCACTGGAAAGGTGATGATCATTCTTCCCCAAACAGGTCTGTAAACCCCTTCACCTTCCATCCAGGACATCTCAAACCCACCAGGCACCTACGTGGTCCTGGGCCCTGACTCACAGGGTCATCACTTCCCCTCAGCTACTCTTTGTGCACACCTTGGAAACTTCATCCTTAATTCACATAGGCCCCACCTGGGGTTTTCCTCTGGATTTTACATTCATATAGTTTTTTTATTTAAATGTGTCCATTTGGTTTCCTTATTGTAAAACATGAAATTACCCACCTATGGGAGCACAGGAATTAATTTACATTCCACTGAGCTTTCAAGTTTGCTTTTTTTCCTTTTTGCTTTTTTTTTCCTTTTTTTGATGGCTGTGTACTCAGCAATCAAAATATAAGATAGGCAAACTTGAAAGGTCCTACTTTCAGAATATTTGGAATAGTATTTCCCAACTTTCAGTCATTCTAGCTACTAGTATCACTTCAGATCCAAGTAAAATCTGTACTATTCTTTATATGATATTTTTTCTCTTAATTTATTTTATTTAAGTAAATTTATTCTAAAAGGAATCTTTATGTCAATACTAACATTTTTAAAAAGCAGTATCATTCACCATAAATAAAGGCCGAGTAAAAATAACATGTCACATTGGGCTTTGGAATCAGAGAGCTGTGTTCAAACCCTAGCTCTGCTAGTTAACAACTGTGAGTTCTTGGGGAAGTTCCTTAACTTCTCTGAGCCTTAGTTACCTCACAGAAGTAATACCAAATATCTCATAAGCTTGTTGGAGGATTAAATAGGATGATAAATATATGGTGCCTAGCACAGATCCTAGCATATAGTAGGTTCTTTAAAAAAAAAGTTGTTTTATTGTTTTCTCTTTTCCATATCCCTTCTCTCACCTATTTATGTCAGTTCCTGCTTAGAGCAGCCTCCTCCAGTGCTGTAACATGGAAGTAATGGGAGACAAGTGGTGAGGCAGGCAGCAGAAATAAAGGACAATATGGTGTCATGGAACCCTCTTACTCTACGACTTAATTAGAGTTGCAAGGTTGTTTCAGGGACCTCAGAAGTCATTCCAGTCTCTCACTCAAACAAAGACCCCCTTGATGTCATCTCTGATAGATGGATGTCCAGTCTTTGCTTTCTCTCTCATATTAGAAAACTCACTACCCGAAAAGACAGTTATAAGAGGAAGGTCTTCTTTATAATAATAATCTCCCAAATCTCCCAGCTCTCACTCCCCAGCCCCATAAGGACCATTTAGTTGACCCTGTCCTGTTTTCTAGAACTACCAAAAAATATATATGTATTTATCCCTTTATATAAAACCCTCCAAATAGTTGAAAGCGGATATTATAAATTTCCTTAATAGTCTCTTCTCTCAGCTAAATATTATCAGTGTCCTCAACTGTTTCTCACATGAGGTGGTCTCCAGAACTCTAATCAACTTGGTGGCTCTCCCTCTGGTACCTATCTCCTTGAATTTGCCAACACACTCCTTTGCAGAGAGGGGACAGAATGGAACAGCCAGTGACAAGATCACTTTCATTAATGAGTCAGAGATCAAATTAGTCTATAGATGGCTGCATTGGGAGGTTGGCTGACCATGATTTTTTTCACCTGTCAAGTCAGATCACCACCCCTGGCCCCATCTTGTTTGTGTGTCAGTGTTGGGGCCAGTGTTCAGCCAATCAAAATTACTCTGAATCCCATATATGTCACCCACTATATTAGCCATCCCTCCAAGCTTTGCGCTACTCCAAAATCTGATAAGGAGGCCTTACCCAAGGGTCATCGGAGCCAAGGACAGAGAGGGTTCAACAGGGATGGTGGTCAACAGTATCACATGCCGAGAGGAGGTCAAGCAGAATAAAGACGATCAGTTCTTTGCGTTTAGTGAGGAGGAAGTGGCTCGTAACCTCAGAAAGCTGCTTTCTGTGTAGGGCTGCTTCCTCACTGCCTCTCTCCCGGATGTTCTCAGGTCTGAGAGGCTACAAGGAAAAGCAGCGGGAGGGGAGTGGCTATAGATGGTAGCTGGGTGGGGGAAACAGATACCTTCCTGATGTCCTTGCTCAACTTTGCCCAAGAGATAGTCCCCTGGGACCACGTAGTTAGGATCTACTCTGGGAAGCAAAGCTAGAAACCTGTGGGCACTCAGAAACATCCAAACACTGGGCTGAATTTTCCAATTCCAGCCAAACATTGGTCACTAAATACAAATGGCTTCCTGTGGCCAGTAGTCAACACACAGTCTAAAAGTATTTCGGGAGTGGTAGTGGTGGTGGTTCCGATATAGGATAAAATAGTTTACACAAATAATTGTAGCAGCATTATTTATTGAAATGTTAATTAGCGTTTGTTTCCAGAGCTTTCTTGACACAGAGATTTTTGCAGGGAGACAGCAGAAGAGACCTAAAGTCAAAGACACTTCTGGACTTTTGTGAAAGCCCATAGAAGAAACCTATAGAAGAGACAATACAGATGTCCTAGAGGGTGAGAGAAAAGAGAGAGAGTGTTTTTGAGATGCAAGAGGAAGAGAGAGAAGGGCAGAGATGTGTGGGTCCTGTGAGCAGTGGGGCCCGAGCACCCCCCCCCAGTGCTCCCAAGGGGATAACAACCTGAGGGGTGATGGCTCATGCCTAGAGAGGCAGTGCCCTTCACTCAAGGAGCCCAGCCTCAGCAGATAATCCATTCCCCACTGGGGCACGGTGACAGAGAGCTGCCGGACTTCACAGACCACTGTGAGCTAGATAGTGAGGTTGCCAACGGCAACCAGGAGAGACTAGAGAATTCAGGTGCTTCCAGCACTTTCTAACAGCAGGTAATCTTCCTAAATTCTGACTGGGCTGCAGGAGGGGAATGACCCATCTATGATCAAAATGGAATCTCCTGTTCAACTGGCAAAACGGGGGCTCAGAGCTGGGATTAGGTTGAATTAAAGGAAATAAGGAAAGAGATAATCTCTTACACATTTGATTCATGGACAGAAATTCACACACTATGCATCATATAATCCATGCAAGGGGGCCCAAGATTGGACTGTAAACACAGTTCCTGAGTTGTTCTTAATTTAGAAGTGATGCAGCTCAAGGCTGGGTCCTGTTCTTATTCCTAGCTCTGCTGAACAAACTCTAATAACACAGGATAGTCAACCACAGCCCTCAGGACCTGGATCTCCCCTTTTAATGAAACTCTGCTGGGTCCACAGACAGGGTTCCCTGACATCACTTCTGAGACACCATAAAACATCTGCTATGAAATTTTCCTTTTACTGCGGCTGTAAAATTGTATTTTTAGAACCCTTCCTCCTTAAAGCATAAATACACTAACCACTAAGAGAATGAAAAGATAAGCCACAGACTGGGAAAAAATATTTGCCAAACATATATCTGATAAAGGACTGGCATCCAAAATATACAAAGAACTCTTAAAACTCAAAGATAAGAAAATAACTCAATTTAAAAATGGTCAAAAAAGATCTGATCATACACCTCACCAAAGAAGATATATGGATGGCAAATAAGCATGTGAAAAGATGCTCAGTATCATACATCCTTAGGGAAACGAGAATTAAAACAACAATAAGCTACTACTACACACCTATTAGAATGGCTAAAATCCAAAAAACTGACACCCTCAAATGCTAGTGTCAGAGAGCAACAGGAGCTCTCATTCATGGCTGGTGGGAATACAAAACAATCTAGGCGCTTCAGAACACATTCTGGCGGTTTCTTATGAAACTTAACAGAAGCCTACCATCT